TACAGCCTGCCGTGCTGTTATCCTGCGTTGCTCTTTGTACAACGCAGCTAATACAAAAAGGTAGTGCTTCAATGAACAACATGAAGTTTAATTTGGACGCCTCTTAACTCATAATCATTGGCTTACAGGTGGCAGTCACGGCAGTAACACACTGCTCGAATAATGACTTCTCCATATATGGTGGCCGACAGGGGCAAACGACGTGCATATACACAAACGAGCTGCATATACATGAATGCGTTGCATAAACAGAAATGTGCTGCAAAAAGAAAACGCTGCATATCCAGTCTTACAACGGATGTGTCCCAGGCCTCTAGGGGCAGTAGTGAGCTTTTCACCTGAGAGGCAGACAACGATGCAGACATCTTCTGGTCGCCATTTTCCTGCACGTGTCCTTCTTTTCAGACTACACTAACGCTGGTCAGTGTGGGCGCACACATCTGTATAGTGATCTCTATAGGTATTAGTGTGGACGGACCATAACAGTAAAACTGGTTAATGCCTGACTGTCAGAAGAAAAGAATGGCAAAAACATCACAGCTAATGCGCTGTCTAATGGCGAAAAAACGTGTCCCAGACACGAAAGATAATTCCAATTGAAATGTATTGGTTTGAAATTCGTGCTGGGGAACACGAAAAAGTTTGGCACGAAACAATGATAATAATAATAACAATAATAATAATAACAATACCAACATTAAGTTTCGGGACTATTTCACGAATTGCCGTGAGACTGTGTTGGCTTTTCCCTCAACTAACGTGACTTGTCTCGTTCATCATTGTCTGCCTCTCAGGTAAAAAGCTCACTACTGCCCCTAGAGGCCTGGAGCACTTTCGTTGTGGGGCATTTCCGTTGTGTGAGTGGATATGCAGCGTTTTCGTTTTGCAGCGCGTTTCTGTTTATGCAATGCATTCATGTATATGCAGCTTGTTTGTGTATATGCACGTCATTTTCCCCCGTCGGCCACCGTATCCATCTCCAGACATAACATGCATTAAGAAAATGCTGTTTGTGTCGGTCACTCAGGCAAATTTGCTGCACAGAGGTGAAGTTTTGCCTGGAAGTCAGTCAGAGCCTGTTGGAGCTCGCCTCAGGATTAGAAGTGCATCAGTGAATTCATCAGTTGTGTTGGCTTTACTTGAAGTGAATGAAAGAGGTGAGGTAGAGCACCTTGACAAAAGCTTCTCACAGCAGCTGCTTGAAGGCCGCAGCATATGCTAAATGCAATCAGTTGCCATTGGCAAAGCAAGAAGGTTCAGGTAAGTGTCCAGCCTGAGCTGCAGTCTGCTCCAACAGTGTTGTTTTACTGCCGGTGTCGTCTTATGTTTCTTCAAGAGGCTGCTGCAGTGCAGCTCCAAGTTTATTTCAGTTCATTTGAACTATATGCATGCAGACAGAAACTCAACAAAAGGCTACTTCAGGTTGTTTTTTTTTTTTTTCTTATTTCTCTGCAGCAAGCCAAATTTTGTGCATTTGTTTTTTTCCCTTTTTTGGCATCAGTCTATGAGGCCTACAGACCAGACCCGCCCTCTCAGGGTTCAGCAAACAGTAAATAAGGGACATACAAACCATGTGACTCATGGTGCCATATAAATCTTAAAGCAGGTGTAGTTGTTACTTAGAACTGCCTGCTCATTGGTTGACTTTAAAGCAGCTTTAAACCAATATTCGTGACCAGACTAGTTGATGTTTCTGTGTGCGAGCTACGAAATATTCTCCATTACAAACCCTAATCAATATAATTATGAAGCAAGTGGATTATTTAATGTAATTGTGGAGTAAGTCACCCTATAATAATTACATTCAGCTCCGTGATAAATTATGTCTCATTGCTGTAGGTAATTAGTCTGAAAATGTTTCCAGTTATGGCTTCAGAGCCAAAAATGGTTGTGAGTAATGTACAGAGCTGCTCACATGAGAAAGAGCTGTTTGTCCTGCTGTTTCAGACGGAGGAGAAAATGGGCTGTAGCTTTCATCTGCTGGCCTGCATGCAGACCATGTGAAGTTAAAAATAATAAGACTGCTCACCCGGAATTGAACCAGGTTTTCAACTCGAGCCGAATTATATTAAACTGAACAGTGTCGGAGACAGAATCAGCCTGTACTTGTTCGCTCTGTGTGTGTTCAGTGTTCTTGCCTTTGTGTGTAATCAGAAGAGTGTGATTAAGCGCCGTGGAGCCTCTCTGAGATGTGGGTCCCTGCTCTCTAAAAGGCTGAAGTATGCCAGTGCTGCTGTATGCGTTCCTCTGTAATAAGATCACCCAGAAAAGACGTTTTCAAGAGGTTCAGCGTCAGATAAAAACACTGCTCTCTTTTTACACTTCAGGGTGTTTACTTTGGTCTGGGCTGTTTGGTTTAGGCACTCTAGTTCTAATTAATGAAATTCTTAATACCACAGCATATAGTGATATTTTGCACAATAGTGACCTCCCGATTTTGTGACAATAGTTTGAGAAACATGATATTGCACCATGCACAAAGTAAAACCATGAAAACCATCACAATGGTTTTGATGCAGAGGAACTTTACTCCTGACCTCAACCCCATCCAATATCTTTGGATAAACGAGGCGACTCGTGAGCCACCAAACATCAGTTTTGGACCTCACTAATGCTCATGTGGCAGAAGGAGAAAAAATCCCTGCAGGTTCCAAAATCTGGTAAAAAAAAAAAAAGCTGGAACTAGAAAAGTAGTGTTATAGGCAGCAGCAGGTGAGATCATTCTTACAATTTAACTTACATGGTGACATCTATGTTTGAGGTCGGACACAGAGAGCATAATATTTGTAGAAAATAAAACATTGTTCCTTTTGTTTCGAACACTTACTGGAAAATCCTTTTTGTTTTTTTTTAATTAATTACTGTAGTGTCTTACATTCATGAAAATACATATACTCTATATGTATCCTCGTCAAAATTTCCAGAACCAGCCCTTCTTCTCTTCCAGAATACATCATTACGTGACATATGAACACAGTGTGCACACATGCTGGATCTTGTCTGCTGAATCCCGCTAGTGTGGATCATTTTCTGGTTTGTCTCTGTGCATAGCATTTAAATTTAAATTATTAGCAATTAGTTATCTATATGTGGGAAATTGGATAATCTTATGCAATGTGACAACTCTGAAAACTTTGATGTGGAATTGGTAAATACTAAATACATTTGTTGAACGAGTTTTTTTTTGTTTTTAAAGCAAAGGGATTTATGTATTCCAGAGCAGGAATGATACATTCTACCACTGACAATACAGTATTAGAAGAGATAAATACTGATTGTAAATACATTGACTTGCTATAGAAGAATAAATTACAAGCAAAACTGCTATTAGGTTTGGTATGACGCTTTGCTTAGTTGTCCACATACTTTAGGCCGTGCGGCTTGTATTATTAGAACTTCCATGTAGAGCAGAGAGAAAACAAGAACGAGAAGGGGAAGCCCAGCACAGGACTTACAGAACTTGAGAAAGAAGCATAGCAATGACTGTGGTAAAGATGAAAAAAAATCATAATTCTAGGATGTCCCATCAAATAAGTTACTAATTTTGGAATTGTCTTTGAGGTTAAGGAGCACACAATATCAGTTGAGAAGAAGGTTAAATAGCAGACTCTTCTTCTTTTCACTACGCTGTTTTGTTTTGACTTCTTGCGGCCAACTTATATGTTTCTGTCACAAATGTCTACCGCTGATGCTTGACAGATGAAAAATCCCCTAGAAATATAGACGTGGAAATAGAAGTCTGAGAAACAGAGAGGTGGAGAGAGAGAGAGAAAAAAGGAAGCTTTAAAAACATAGAAGACGTACAGCAAAAGAGTTTCTTTTTTTTT